TAGCTTTTATTATGATTTTTTGACTTGGTTTATTGTATTTGGAAGTTATTAAAAAACTGATGTATTTCTGTGATATCTATGACTGCTGAAATCATGGTTTCATTACATTGAGTAAATTCATTGTAGAGGAAGTAATTCAAACATGATTTGATTGGTACTATTATAAATTGGCTGAAATTTTTAAACTGAAAAGTTGTCATGTGTGTGAAAAGTCGGCATTGGTGGTTTTGTAGTTGTCATTTGGCCTTTATTTTTAATTTTTTATGTTTTTTATGGTCAGTTGACATTTTGTTAAACGGAGTTTAAGAGTTGCTCTTTTGTCTTAATTTTATTACAAAAATAACAGACTGAAAGATAGAAGTAATAAAAAGCAAAATATTTAAACACATTTAAATAAAAACATTTTTATTCATAGACCAAATATTATTTTCTAAGTACATTACTGAACATGCTGTTTTAAAACAGCAAGAATCTGACAGCATAAAATAGAAATATGGAAACTAATATCCCATAAACAACTTTCAAGTTAATATAATCTTCATCCAGCCCCTCAGATTTTCTCAACTTTGATTTTCTTGTCTTTTGGCTTCCCTTCACAGCTCCGGCCATCTATAAATAATTTTTTTTGAACTCTCTTTCCTGTTTTTTCTTTACAGCCTGGTTCAATTTCCTCACCATCTGATTCTTACATAATAAAATATATATAATTTTTTTATGAAAATATTATATTTTGCTGCTGAAAAAGAAAAAATCTAAAAATTTGATCTTTACTTGAATAACTTCATAATATTCTTTGATCAATGTGGAGAGTTGGTCAGAATCCTATTGAGAAAGAGAATCATTACAATGTATTAATTATTATATAATATAAAAATAATACTTCTATTATACTTTGTAGGACTGTTATTTTTTTTTTTAAATGAAATCAGGCCAACCTGGGAGATGTTGGCCAAAGAACCAAATCGGCTGACCAAAATATGGTCGGCTGTTATTCGAGAAACGGTAAAAGGACCATTGTATGATCTAAATTGACTCTTTTTCTTTGAAACCTTGAACAATAGCACTTTGTTTGTCAAAAACTCAAGGTCAAGAGGTAGATCCAATCCATCATTTTCCTGCATGTTAAATTTCGAATTAAATTATAATTTTGATAATATAAGAATAAAAAATTTGAGGAAAACTCAATATAAAAAAAACACATGCCACTATCATTTCACTAACAATAGCATCACATGGTTTTTCAACCAACTCTCGAGCAATTTTGTCCCATCACAAAAGGCGAACCATTCGGGTGTTGTCCCCAACCGAAATATGCAGCTTGTATCTATCAATAAAAAAATGAATAAAAACATATAAAAAATCTTTATGGTTAATTTTAAAATTATAAAAGGTAATTACCTAAGGTTTGCAAAGGGAATGGTGTCTTTGCAATGGTTGCACCAAAATCTCTCTTCTTTGGGCTCGACTTTCTGAACGCAATTTGGGCATGAATTGAAAAACCAATCTCTCCAAATATCAACAATGTTGCCACAAATCAAATAATCTTTTGGCTGAAAATAGAAATTAAAAGCAAATCAATATGTGAGTAATAATTCAAAAAATTGTTGATTTACTATGACTGAGTAATAATAATTCAAAGATTGTAATAAGTCAAATTGATACCTCTTCGGACGCATAAAATTTCGCAACACTTATGATAGGTGCAATTCCGGAATGCAAGTCGTCACATACGTTAGACATGAAAGACCTAACATAAGGAAATGAAGATTCCCCTGGCCTTGTGTGGGAATTGTACCTAGTGAAAGAAAAATATAATCTGAAGTATGTATTAGTTTTTGAAATCACATAATAACAAATAGGCATTGAAGACATAGGATATATACCTTTGTTTGAAATCAACAATCTCAGGAACATCATTCGAG